TACACACAATGGGAGATGCTTATAAGGCTATTAACAAAGAGGTGCACCCTAATTTTTACCAAACTCTATAAAAGTAACACACACACGGAAATAAAAATTGCAAAATAAGGGGAATCATTGGAAATGCAAATAATAACCGTTCCCATTAAATTTTAAAAGAAATATACAGAATGGGAAAAAAAAAAAACATCGACATTTATTCCCCCATTCTATGTGTGAAGAAAGAAAAAAATTCCCATAATTTTGTAAGTAATTACATCCCTATTTTTCCTAGCGCAATGTTTCAATAAATGGCTTCCTAATTTTTGTCCATTTAATACACTTTTACACACGATACTGTTTCCACAAGTCGGTTGCATGCTCAGTAGACCCTATCTTGTGTGTATAATCCCCTAGAACGCCACCTATAAGCTTTAAGAAAAAAAAAGAAAAACAACCAAAATTCTTAAAAACAAATTTGTCGAAAATGCCATACGAGGAAGCACTCTTGTTGCACATGTTATTAAGTTTCGTTTTTTCCTTTTAAATTAAATGTAAGAGTTGCAATTCAAGGAGCTTTTCCAACTGTACTAAATGATGTAATTGAGCTTATCAAAGCTTAAATAATTTCCCGCAGGTATCACTCTGCAATTTGGCCTGTCTTTTGCTCAATACAAGACAAGGGCACAACCTTTTTAATTCCTTTTATGCGTCTATTGGATGTATACCTCTTAATTCACGCAAACGCTTTTTACTTTTTTTAAAAAGGAAATGTTTACACTGGTGTAAACATGCATGAGTAAAAAGTTGCGCGTCCTTTGCGTTAGTAATTGTCCTAAGATCTTAAAGATACTCTTAAAATTGGCATGCCAAATATGTGCAATTTTTTTTTTTCCTTTTTCGTTGTTTAGTTGTACGATTATTACTATTTTTCAAATATTTTTTCTCAATTTATTTATTTTTTTTTTTTTCTTCACGACTGCATTTGTTATTGGATGTGCTTGAGAGGAGCATAAGAAAGCGCTGCTTTGGGGGTAATTTTAATGAGATTTGCTTGAGCAGCGCAAGGCGGTGTTATACATTTTAACGGCCATATTTTAAAAAAAGCAGAATCCTGCTGAAAATTGAGAAAGCCTTGTGCGTGACAACATTTCATCGTTGTATGTACTGATCCAGATGATGCAAAATATTGCTGAAAGATAATCGCGAATGGAGGTTATGGAACATGTGTTTTTTTTTACCCCTTAATTTTGAGAAAATTGGACATAGGTTTGGGCAGCCTGTGGAAGAGTTCACGAGCTTTCGCGTACATACAAACACATACCCTGTTACGCGCATTGACTTCACAAATTTTTTTTTTCAGAATTAAAGGTGAAACGAGTATTGTGAGGCGGTATACACTTCGGTGTAATTTTCAATAATTTTTCTGCCGATAAGTTATGGATTGGGAAATCTAGTTGAAAAATATGGACGCGCTGCTTCCCCCGCAGCCATATTTTCGAATAGCCCCATTTGAACCTGCATATGAACATAAACATGGAGGCCTTTTTCCCCATATCGTATATGCTGCATCACTCATTTTGTGGAGAAAAGGGGCCCTACGAAATGTGGGACATGTGGATGGTCCTCTGTTAATGTCACTTCGTTTGGTAATGCAAAGGGATACATATAAAATGGAGTACATATGCAACTGTTTGCTACGCAAAAACAGGCTTAAGCGACTTTTAATTTGTGCTTTTCGCTATGACGTCATGTGTTCAAATTGGTGACATTCCATTTCGATGCAACACATAAAGAAAAAAATAACCACTTAAGGAGATTCCCATTTTGTACGTATGTAAAATTGGTGCATGTAAGAATAGTTCCTTTTGTTGGTGTTAACCAAGCGGCTACTCAGTATGAAAGTTCTCCCTCAATTTGGTAGTCCCACTTTATGTGGATGAGTCATAACATTGGCTGGATGAAATTCGCCCCGCGAAAGGAATTGAACGTTGTGTTCGCCCCACTGCATGCACAAAAGAGCCATGCGCATGTACATGCGCAAATACAGACACACCATGGTGGTGCTTCCCTTTCTTTTTCTCCGTCCCCACGTTCGTCTTAGTGGCCAAAAAGGAAAACTGAATATATTTCTCCAAGGGACATGCAGCAGCGGTTATTATGAAGCCACATTACGTTGTGTTGTTCGCCGATGTGCATGCAAAAACACAACAAAAAAAAGGCAACGGAGGTATAAGTAGACCAAATGAGAGAAGTGCCGTTGTTCGGAAAAATACATATGAAAGCATGTTAGTAGAAATGCAAAATAATTCAAAAGAATTCAGAACAATTCAGAACAATTCAGAACAATTCAAAAAAATGCAAAAAAATGCAAAAAAAAGTACAAAAAAAATCTAAATACAAAAAAAAAATTAGCAAGATAAATATTCAAAAATAAGAAAAAAGCGCGCACAAAACGCCTCTTTTGTTCTAAATAAAGCATATTTGTTCCAAACAAAGCAACCTGCCAAAATAAGCCATTTTTGTCGCAGTAAATCCATTTTTGCGAATCCTCTGCCAAGCATAAATTTGTGCAACTTGCACGATCCCATGACTGCTTCGTAAGCACAAGCACTGAAATCATCACTGCCGTATCTTTCGCTCAAAATGAGAATTTCCTGCATATTTTTACTCATAAACTTTCTCTTCATAATTAATTTGTTGGCACCATGTATGTGCTCAGAGAACGTGGTGAAGAAGAAAGTCCTAGAAGCATACAACTCAATCAAACAAAAATTGAATAGCTATGATAAAAAAAAGAAGAACGCAATAGTAGCAGGTGCCACAACTACAGCCGTTGCACTCATATCGGCTTTAATTGGAGGTGTCTACTTCCTTAAGCACAAACATAAAAAAGAATTGGAAGATCCCGCAACGGTTGCATTCGTTTTCAACCTTTTAGTTGATACCGCAGATGGTGGAGTTATTCAATCACAGAAGGCGTACATCATGGGAAAGGAAATTACTAAAACATTTCCAAGTGAGCAAGCATTACGAGAATATATAGTGAAGAACATGAAGGACAGTAGTTCGGATAAGACTGGTTCTGATAAGGAAGATCTTCTGAACTCGATTATGCAAATCAACGTCAATGTTAAGCAGCCGACTGGTGACACTCAAACATAAGGTACAGCCGCGTGGAACCCCACTGTTATTCGTCAGTTGAACGAGGAAAAACAAAAGGATGCCACGGTGCTGCACCAATGCAGTGCTGCAGAAAGCTGAACAGACGAAAAGGCTGCAATTTTGTTACAACATTTTGTCTTTACCTCTTTAATTTTACTTATTGGTACGTTTTGCTAAGCGTGACACGCGCGTTCGCAAATATACATGCATATGCTCAGGAGTGTATATGCTCATGCGCGTACATCCTCATGCGCGTACATGTTCATGAGTATACATGTTCATGAGTATACCTGTTCATGAGTATACCTGTTCATGAGTATACCTGTTCATGAGTATACCTGTTCATGCGTGTACATGTGTGTAGACCCCTTTTCTCATTTTGAACTCGAAAAGTTGGGACCGAGAGAGTCTTCTTTAACCCAGTTTTGATTTCTTTTTTTTTTTGATTTTTCCCTGCCATTTTCCGCAAACAATGTTATATTTAAAGATTCAAGTGCCGTCCGTTATCCCGTATTCATTATTAAGTACACAAATGATACGCATCATGTAGGTAGACAATTCGTAACTTAACAAACCTTGTGAAAACATCGGAAATAATTTAACTCATTCCAAATGACTGCATTACTTTGCGTCAAAGAAAAAGCGTAGATGAAGCGAAAAAAAAAAGGAAGAAAACTTCTATGCGTGCAGCATGGATACATGTTCATAAAAAAGCATGCATCACGGAAGTTCGAAAAAAATCTCGCAGAAATTTCCGTTTCCGATGACCCCAATGTTCCTTTTACCATTTATTCGAAACATTTGAAAACGCGATATTTATCATAAAATATTACAAAGTAAATACAGAAATGGAAACAATAAAATGGAACAGAAAAAAAAAAAAAAAAATGACATCGGTGTTTTTGAGCATCCATAAGCGCGTTTTGGTACAACCGGTGGTACTACGCTTTGGAAGAGGAACCGTTTCCCCATTTTTTTTTGCGCATGATATTGTCTGCTTCCTGTTGAGCGAGTTCATTGTGCGGGCCAAAAAATGGCCATTTTATGTAGTCAATATGGAGGGATCCCATTTGGCCCTACTTAGTACGTGTATTTGATACGTGCCCATTTGGTACTCACCTACCCAATACACGCATTACTTCCCAAGTGTTAACCATTTTTGAATTTTTGCGTATAATACATGGCATTACATGAAAATGGCGATAATCATTTTGGGTAAGAAACATTTGGGCATTTTCTCTCTACAGTTCTGTTCACGTAAAATTTGGCAATAAATACTTTTACTCCAAAAGGAGAAAAAAACATGGGCGGTGAATTTACATTTATTTGCCATGGCCAAACGGCCATTAATTTGCTCAGCACAGTTTACATAAATATGAGGGCATGAACATTTCAGTAGTATTTCACCCTAAAGAAGTAAGAGCACCTGGAAAGGAGGATTATATTTTTATTTTTGTCCAGTTGAATTTTTTTTTTCTTTGCTTACTGGATGGGGAAAATAAACGAAAGGTGCCACGTGTTATAAAATCTCCAAATGTTGGAAGTTTGGCCGTTGTAATATTTTTCCCGCAAATAATACCTTTACATGCGTACCAGGAGTAAAATGTGTTCTTGGGAAATGTATTAACTATGGGCGTTTTTTTTTTCTCCTTTGGTTTGGACGCATTGTTACTCGTGCCTGGGGGTGTTTCTTTTATGGGAGTCTTCCCAGTGGGTAAAAGAATAACGCTCTCATAGGGTGAGTAATTTCCACTAATGTCACTATCCTTTGTTTGTGGAGACGCTAAATGATGGCCTCATTTTGAGTAGCGAATTTTGATGTGTAAGATAAGAGTGTACTCTTTAAGGTATTAACACAGAGATCACCCTTTTAAAACATATTTTCACAACAGAGATGGGAATTTTTCCTTTTTTTTGCAAAAGGAAAGGGAACTTTGCCCAAACAATTGCTCCTCATGGTTTAAATCCGCACATAGTTCCATCAAACGCGCGGAAATTGATGTACTTTTCAGTTGATGGCGAAAACTTCATATCGCGCACCCGGAATTATGTATCCCCTTTTTCCTGATGTAATAAAAAATGAATGTAAAAGGTATCTCAAAAGCGCAAACACGTGTTCATTTTCAGTCGATCCGGTGCATACAATGTGACCCCTCTCTGTGGGTGCTGTTACATATGTACAACTCAAATGAAAGCGATGTCTCGTGTGGAATTACTGGATCAAATGAGGAAGTGTAGCAATGCCATTTGGTAGTTTTACGTCGCAAAGTATACGTGAGTTGGTAAATAATGTGCAAAAAAAAAAATGGGGCGTATATTTTGGCCTTTTTTTTTTCTCTTTAGCGAAAAAAGAACCTTGCGATTTTTCTAAAAGCTGTAATCAACCACATATGTAACGATATGACCATAATGAGCACGGCTAAGTAGCAATAACAATCAATTTCCCCATGCCAAATGTTATACGTGCACTTGTGAACACATCGAAGGTAGTAAAATTCTTCTCCCAATATTTTACATCGTGTAAATTTTGTAAAGTTTAAGAAAATAATTTATTTATGCCGAAAGGTATAATCTCAAAAGAACAAAAAAGAATTGCCATTGGCATTCTATAAGCTCAAGAATGGAAATAACGGGTGAATGGTGGGATGCGCGAGGCCGCTTCAAAAACATCCGTTCGATCGGTCGGCACGCAACAAAATGTGTAGGATGAAAAATGTATGATGAAATGCGCGCATTGTAGATTGTACATTGTACATCGCAGTTTATACATTATAGTTTGTACATTGTGCCCCATTTTCGTAACTGTGTTACGGATTCGCGCGGGATGTGCCATAGATGAAAGCGCATTTACATGCATTAACTTTGTTAATAACTGTGCCCGCGAAGTACAAGGGCATAAAACGTAAGTAGAATTACGCGGCCTTATCACGCTCCGCGTGTTATTTCCTCTTTCCTTTTGGAAATTTTTATGCCATTTCGCTCTGTTGCTTTTTTATTCTTTGTTAATTTTCTTTTTTTTAAATAAAAGGAGTTGTGGGATTTATTTTTTTTTTCCGCGTTTGACTTATACAGCATTTTGAATTTTTTTTTTTTGTCGACTGCTCGGTTGTTCTTTTGTTCTGTATGTTTCGCCCGCACGGGTATACTTGATTTTTACATATAAATATGCAACAGGTGAATAGATGCTTTTACTTGTTCGCCTTATAAATGTTAATCCCTGACCGCATCAGTTGGCACCACAAGCGTGTTATATATGTTTACAGGCACGACTGTGCTTGACGCGCCTGCGGCATATGTTACTTATATGGGGAAGCCCCTGCTTCGCGCGCGTTCTTACATATACATTTACATATATATATATATAATACATACATACGTGTTGCCCGTTCTGCTTCCGTTGCGGAAAGAGTTGCAAATGCATCGACCCTACAAGTGTGCATAAGGGGGCATTTTTTTTTTATACCTACTGTATAGTTACCTTCCACTTGGTTAATTTTTTTTTCCCGGGGGTGACAGTTATTTTCCATATGGGTGCAAAAGAACTATATCGCCTACGAGTAGGATATGGCGTTTTTTTTTTTTTGCCGGCCTAAGGCAATTGGGGAGACATGTGCAGCAAGAGAGGGGCGTTTGTTGGAAACAAAATATATATAGATTATTATTATATGAGCAGAAGACCCATTTTAATCGTACCAGCTCATGCCAATAGGGAATTCACCAAGGTTGGTAAATGGAGTTCTGGAATAAATGACCAATTATGGGACCATTTGAAGCATTCAGGAAGGGGAAGTAGTATTGAAAATCAAATAAATTGATTAAATATTTAAATATTTGTACTGAGAAATCGAATATATGGTTCGGTTTCAAGGTTAAATTTAAAATTATTTAACAATTTTATGGTCATTTCCATTTTTTAAAAAAAAAAAATTGGAACAGTCTTGAAAAAATAAAATGAAAATCACATTTCTGTGAAGTTTTATTTTTTAAAATTACAAAAGTAGATTTTGTTCTAATTCGCTTTTGTTAATATCTCAGTTTTTTTTTGAACTGTTATATATACAATTTTGTGCGAAATAGTTTTTTGGGTATGGTATATATAGTATATGTTTCTGTGTTCTTTTTACAGTTCATTATAAACATATATTATATAAGAATTATTAACAACTACTTTTTGTTATTGTAAAGGAATAATCTGGTTTTGTGTTATATCGTAAAGATTATGATACTTATCGGATGCGGATATAGGAAGGATAAGACTGACTTGATTTTGATTGTCATGATTTAAATCATGTTCAATACTACTTTCCCTTCCTCATTTGAACTTTTGAGTTTGGACTTTAATGTTATAGAATTTTCTGGGTTAAAATTCGATGTAAGGCTCCTCACTCTTTATTAGTTTCAAGTGGTGTATAAATAATATTATTTTACACACACACAGATTATTGTAATTATTAATATAATTCACAGTTTTCAGTGGTTATTATAATTTTTTGCATTCTAGTCTAAAATTTCGTTATGACAGTTTTTAATTAATGCAACTCCATGAACACTGGAATGAATTAACATGTCGTATGTAGATAATGATCTCAAATGGTGCCATGTCAAGCAAAAAAAGTAATCGTCATCCCATCCAAATTTTTAGTCACCGTTCGACCATTTGAGTGGCATTGTCTAATATAACTTGTAAATTAACAAAGGTGTCTCGGATAACTTAATTTAAATCTGTTGAATGTTTTATCAAATCATAATGTCTAGCAAGAGTTTAAAAATAAATTTTTTATATCCTTTCGTTATTGCATGATAAATGTCAACTAATCTCAACAAGTACGATCAAAGGTGTTCTATGAAAAGCAGCCGGCGATAGATTCTTTAACTACTATTATAAGGATAGAAAGTGAATTATCTACTTAGAGCATCTTGTAAGGCAGATTTTGTAAAAGGCCGTTCGATTCCATGGAATGAAAAAATGCATGGTTTTACGTCGGTACCTTTTATCGTGT